GTCTCACGAGGGGGGGGAGTGGGGTACTAAGGGGGGTGCCAGGGAGTTGGGGGAGGGGGGACCTTGCAGCGGCCAGCGGTCGACAGGGGTTGGGTTGCAGTGGTGCGCTCAGGGAGAGTCAGCGAGGGTTGTCTCGCCAGGGCAGTCGGCATGGGGAGGGCACAGCGCCGCCAACATGAGCCTGCCCCGGACCATGTGCAGGACACATGTAGGACCCGCTCCCCTGTGTATCGGTACCTGGTTGTCGGCCAGAAGGTTGACAACAAGGGGGTTATGATGCTCCGTTGCACGTTTTGCAACAAAGTTTTCCAAGGAACCCAGTTTCAGGCCACGAGGCACTTCACACAGACGAACTACTGCAAGGACGTCAGCGACGAGGCGTTGTACGAGATCGCGTGACGGACTCAACAGAAGTTCGAGGCCGATCAGATGGGAGGGTTGTCAGGTATGCAGCGAAGCTTGGACACAATGTGCTCGACACGGGTGGTGCAAGGGGAGGAGAGGCGGGGCGGCGTCCGGTGGAGGGAGCGGTCAGGGGAGATGGTGGGCATGGTGCGCCAGACCACCCGTTGGGGGGTGGAGGCGGTGACACGGAGGAGGGCGTGATCCACGTCGATCGCGAGGCGCGTGGTCCGGGCGAGGAGGGGATCCCGGAACACGAGGATGTGCCAGAGTTTTATCCAGACACTGGGAAGAGGATGAAGGATTGGCGGAGGCAAGCAGGCAAGGAACCTGCAACGGAGGGATCTTCCAAGAGGAAGGAAGGAGGAACTGATCCAGCTGCCACCCCAGTAGGAAAGGTGATTGAGGTCTACGGTGGCGAGTGGGTTGCTCGCCACAAGAAGGCCTTCCTTCGCTGGTTCTATTCCAGCGGGGTCTTCTTCAATGCCTTCCGCAACCAGGCTTGGAAGGCATATCAACAGGTGCTTCTTGAGCAGCCTGGCAGTTCCCCGCGTGCTGTGCTCCCCGACCACAGCGAGATTGCGAGTATGCGAGCGGTGGAGACCCACCATGCGGAGCTAGCGGAGGAGTTGGAGGAGGCGAGGCAGCCATTCTGGGTGACGTCCTTCGGAGATGGGTTACCAGCTTCCACGGGTTCAGCTTCGGAGGCCCGCAGCGGGTCAATGTGATATGCATTGACTCCGCTTCTGCGTACGTGAGGGCTGCAAGGGCATTGGCCTCGCCGACCATGCCTCTTGCACTGAGGAGGATCACTTGGCTCCGGTGCTCCGTCCATGTCTACAACATATTGCTGTCAGATATGGGGGGGAGTTGTCACGCGTTTGTGGACGCGATCACACGCGCTTGTATGCTAGTGGTATTTTTCAAAACTCACCTGGCCGGCCTTCATCTTTTTAGGATGCGCAACCTTAACAAGGGGCTTATTCTTTCTTGCGAGACGCGGTTCGCGTCTGTTTATTCCATGCTAGAGAGATTGTTGACCTTGCAGAACACGTTGCAGGACATGATGCGAGGGGATGGCGTGCGGACTTTTGCTTTTATCCCGTGGTCCGCCGATGTGTGCGTCATGGTGCGTTGGGTGCGCCGACAGACAAGATGGGATCCATGGTGGCAGAGGGTGGCCACCATCGTCCATATCATGCAGCCCGTCATGGAGTTGCTTAGGCGGATAGATCGTGGAGGACAGTACATGTCCCTCATGATCGAGTGGACACAAGATTTTGTCGCCGTGTCACGGACGCATGCGCTCCTTTGGGAAAGTCGTTCTCCGACCGGATCATCAGGCGTGTGCAGGCTTGCACACAGCACATGCTTGGGCCGGCTCACTGCGCAGGGTTCTTACTGAACCCCCGCAGGTGACACATTCGCTACTTTTCGGGCGAGGTTGATCGGTACCATGCTTGGCTTGTGGGGCAAGCCAAGAGGTACATTCTGACGCAAACGGGTTTCGAGTTGGAGGGTGCAGAGTACATCCTTGCATGTCGGCAGTTTGAGGACTTCCACATTCAGCGGGGCAGGTTCGGGGATTGGGGCGGGGCGGAGGGGCATGCTCGTGGGCGCCCGTGCAGCGGGGACGGCGAGACGATTGAGTGTGCGTCCTGGTGGTCTAAGTTCGGGGCCGGCGCGCCACAGTTGCAGCGGTGCGCTCTTCGGGTGATGCACATGTGGTCTTGCGCCTCTCTAGCGGAGAGGAATTGGGCAGTCCGTGAGGGCATCCACACGAAGAAGCGCAACCAGTTGACCTTCGAGAAGGTCGTTCAACTCGTTGAGATCATCGCAAATGTGTGGTTGATGGAGTATCGGGGGGTTGGAAGCAGTTATGCGCTGCCATGGCAGCAGGACGAGGGCATGCTGGATTGCCAGGCAGGACTCGACGTAGAGGTTGTGCGCACGGGCACTCGCAGGGGGATGACGGAGTAGGAGATTGCCCGTTAGGTTGCGCTTATTACCCGGGATCCCATCGGGGCCTCCGCACCACCCTCTGCTGATGCCGTTTTCGGTAGACATGCTTGCATTTTTCGTTCCTACCCCAGGAAGGACGACTCGGTACCCGAGCCGGCAGATTACCCTGCGCCCCGTGAGATCGATGAGGCGCACGACGATCGCGACGACGAGGAGATGAGGGCACACACTGCAGGACGGACGGCGGACCGGGTGGACAGGGAGATGCAGGGGGAAGAGACTTAGAGGAGGAGTTTTAGGGCCCATTCGGGGAGGTCGCTTCCACAAGCGGCACAGAGGCACCGAGGCACCGAGGCACGGACGATGACCCCCACCCCGACGAGGCGGGAGTCGTCCATGCCGCCACCTTCTGCTCCGAGTCCTGCACCACCATCGCCTGTCTCGCCACTTCAGTCGGCCACGGCAACGGCGGACACGGAGGAGTTGGGGTCCTCTTTGCCTCAATGCGGACTTCTCCATAGAGGCGGGGCAGTCTGCCAGCTGAGGTTATGATCACCTTCATCGGGGATATTGCAGGAGGAGGGGGCACTGTCGACAGCAGCAGTGGAGGGGGGGATGGCACCAACGGCGGTGGCGGACGCGACCGTCGCAGCCACGGTGGACGAGATAGCAGCAGTAGCAGCAGCAGCAGTAATGGAGGAGATGGCAGCATCACCGCTGGAGGAGGAGACACCAGCGGCAGGAGGAGCAGCAGCAGTGGAGGGGCAGGTGGCAGCAGCAGGAGGAGCAGCTGGAGGAGCGGCAACAGTGGAGGTGGAGGGGGCAGCAACAGTGGAGGAGGAGGAGGCACCCTCAGCAGCTGCAGTGGAGGGGGGGGTGGCAGGACCAGTGTACGAGGAGAAAGCCGCACAGGCGGAGGTGCCGTGTGGGGGCGATGACGAGCGCCTCATGCAGCAGTTCCTCACGGAGGAGCTCGATCCGGTCATAACGGGTATGACCCCGGGTGTGGCGGGGGGTTGGGGATTTTGGATTCGGAGATGGGGACCCACTTAGACTCTGATTTGTCGATGGACCTTCCACCTAGTTACGGCGGGGCGACATCGACGGATCGGGCTCCATCGAGGGAAGAGGCGGCAGGTCAAACTTTGACGCAGACCCCGAGAGAGAGGACGACGACTGAGTCTTCAGATGCAGCACGTGACATCATAGAGCGAGAGAGGTTTGACTTCTGGCATCGAGTAACGCACGTGCTCATTCATTCGCACGGGCCTTGGAGGAGGCCAGGCTTCGAGAGACGGGGGGGGATCGTATGCAGGGTGGGGTGGTGGCAGGGGAGGACGTTGCGGAGGGAGTGGCAGCAGACGCGGACGACGAGGCTATGACGGGTGGACCAGAGGCAATGGATGTTGTTGTGGAGGGACGGCCACAGGCGGTGGATGAGGTTGTGCAAGCAGGACAGCGGCGAGAGAGGAGGCTATAGACGCACGACGCGTGGTCTAGGAGACAACCACAGGTCCAGTCGTTCCGTTCCCGGGTCTGCACTTGGCTCAGGGCCAATAGTCGCAGGCGGTTCAGATGGCAGTGTATGGTGTGCCACCTCCTGTAACCACAGATTTGGGGTTCGAGCAAGTGGTTGTGCCCCCACGTCCTCCTAGTCACTTTGCTCCGCAGGAGGTCCGTCATCCTTTGGATGCAGAGGAGTTGGCCAGAGAGGCTGTGCGTGATGTTACTCGATTGGACGGACGGATCTTCGACCAGAGGCTCGAGCATTTAGCATGGCAAGCGATCCCTTCGGTTCCATGGGGTCCTGCGTCGCCCGTGTCGTCTGGGTCTACCTCCACCGGAGGACGTACCGTGGGACATGTTCCAGGGGTTTCGGATGGCGTGATGGAGACAGCGCCACGCACAAGAGACATGCCACCCCTTCCTCCTAGACCACCTGTAGGTGATCCATCATCATCGCCCACAGGCAAAGGCTCTCGATCCCCACACACGCCTGGGAGATCTAGGGTTCGTGACACGACAGCAATTCAGCGGGATGTGTGTGACACGACGTTATTCGGGAGGATAGACATAGATTTGGATTCCACCCGCTGTGTCACGGAGCACACAGGACGCCTTTTGCCGGGCTTGAGACCCCGCGGCGCCAGGACGACCGCGGCGAGGGAGGTACCAGCATCAGGTTGTGTGCCTCAGCGAGGTCGCAGCAGAGGAGTGTCCACCGAGAGCTTGGAGCACGCTCTGAGAGCAACGACGCGTACCGTGCATGAGCAAACTCCACGCAAGCGTGGAGCGCCTCCTCGTCCACGCCCCGTGCCTGCAGGGTGAGGCGCTACACTTAGAGAGAGCACGGGGGCGGAGGGGTTGGGGATGCCTTGTGGATCCCACCGTGAGCAGACGGTTGCAGAGGCTAGTGCGAGGGTTGTTGTGTTGAGGAAGGGAGGAGGCCCTGTCACCATCGAGGAGGATGATCCTGATACAGATGCGGCAGTGCAGGAGGCGGACGAGGACTATGAGGGCGAGCAGGAGGAAGAGGAGGAGAGCAAGAGCGGTTCTGATGGTGACGACAATGACGACGGCGATGAGCCCCCACCTCCCCCAGGACCCCCACCGACGAGTGCATCCACACTCTGCTGCGCATACTTCTTCATTTGGACGAGGGAGGAAGAGGTCGACATCCGGCACTCGAGGGGGTACGAGGAGACAGAGCGGGAAGGGGAAGAAGGGTCGTTGACCGATGAGGCGAACACTCTGCTTATCCCCTACTCGCACTGTACTTCGTCATGTTGTGCGGTCCTTTTTTTTTTTTCGTCTGGTCTTGTCTTAGTATTGTTAGACACTCAGTGGTAGTGTGCGTGCTTTACTTGTTGGTGTGTATGATTTTGGTAGCAGTAGGGTGTTCGTAGAGTATGATTTTGGTACCAGTAGGGTGTTCGTAGAGTACCGTCGCTTGCAGCAGACTGAGTACAGTATCTCGGCAGCTATGACACGACTTGTAGACTACTATTTCTTGTATTTTTTTCGACATGTGGTACCAGTGCCTTAGCAGTAGGATACATTGTATCATGTTAAATTTTTCATGTGTGATTTTAGTGACGGGTACTTCGAGTCGTTCATGACTTTTCATGTACATTACATTTTCTGTTACGAGTGATGCACGTTGTGTGTACGACATTGCGTGCGATTTTTTTTCGATGTGTGATTTTATATCTTTAATTGTTGTTCTCATTTTCAATTTTATTTCTTGCGTTTATTTCTTTCAATTTATTTTTGGCTTGGAGAGTTCGGTGGTTGTTTTCTTTTTATTTCTGTCTTAATTGTTGAATCTATTTGCATTGAATGGAATACTAACTGATGTTTCGGGTGGTGCTTAGTGGTAAGGGGGGGCCACGGGGTGAAGGTTTTTGGGGAGG